CCCACCTCCTAGAGAAATGGAAATAAAAACAAAAATAAACAGATGGGATCTAATGAAACTTAAAGGGTTTGCACAGCAAAGGAAACCATGAAGAAGACCAAAAGACAACCCTCAGAATGGGAGAAAATATTTGCAAATGAAGCAACTGAAAAAGGATTAATCTCCAGAATTTACAAGTAGCTCATGCAGCTCAGTATCAAAAAACCCCAAAAACCCAATCCAGAAATGTACAGAAGACCTAAATAGACATTTCTCCAAAGAAGATACACAGATTGCCAACAAACACATGAAAGGATGCTCAACATCACTAATCATTAGAGAAATGCAAATCAAAGCTACAATGAGGTATCACCTCACACCAGTCAGAATGGTCATCATCAAAAATCTACTAACAGGAAATGCTGGAGAGTGTGTGGAAGAAACAGAACCCTCCTACACTGTTGGTGGAATGTAAATTCATACAAACATTATGGAGAACACTATGGAAGTTCCTTAAGAAACTAAATATAGAACTATCATATGATCCAGCAATCGTACTCCTAGGCATATACCTAAGGAAAACCCTAATTCGAAAAGATACATGCACTCCAATGTTCATTGCAGCACTATTTACAATAGCCAAGACATGGAAGCAACTGAAATATCCATCAATAGAGGAATGTATTAAGAATATGTGGTACATATATACTATGGATATATCTCAGCAATTAAAAAGAACAAAATAATGCAATTTGCAGCAAGATGGATGGACCTAGAGGTTTTCATACTGAGTGAAGTCAGAAAGAGGACAAGTATATGATATCATTTATCTGTGGAATCTACAAAAATGGTACAAATGAATTCATTTACCAAACAGAAATAGAGTTACAGATGTAAAAAAGAAACTTTTGGTTACCAGGGGGGAAAGTGGGGAGAGGGATAAATTGGGAAATTGCGATTGACATATACACACTACTATATATAAAATAGATAGCTAATAAGGACCTACTGTATAGCACAGGGCACTCTACTCAATACTCTGTAATGACCTATATGGGAAAAGAATCTAAAAGAGTGGATATTTGTATATGTATAACTGATTCACTTTGCTGTACACCTGAAACTTACACAACATTGTAAATAAACTATACTCTAAGAAAAATTATTAAAAAAGGAAAAAGACAAATACTGTATGACCTCAGTTATATGCAGGAATTTTTTTTAAAAAAATGAAAAAAAAAACTGAATTACAGAAAATGGATTGGTTTTTGTCAGATGTGGAAAGGCTAGGGAGTGGACAAAATGGGTCAAAATGGTTAAAAAGTACAAACTTCCAGTTATGAAATGAATAAGTCATGGAGATACAATGTACAGCAGGGTCACTGTAGTCAATAATACTGTATGTATATTTGACAATGCTAAGAGAGTACATTTTAAAAGTTTTCATCACACAAAAATATATTTTGTAACTATTCATGGTGATGGAGGTTAAATAGACTTGTTGTGGTAAATTTCTACAACTATACAAATATCGAATCATTATGTTGTATATCTGAAACTAATATAGTGGTGCATGTCAATTATATCTAAATAAAATTAGAAAGAAAAAAAGTAGAATGGAAAACAAAACACTCTAAATTAAGACTAGTTTTCTACTCCAGTAAGTGTAATATAAAGAATTCTTCATTCATAGTTGAGGAGCATGTCAAGTTTTACAAACATAATTCAAATATGAATTATTTTAATCCAGAAATATAAACAGAGCTGGCCCTGAAACAAAGCACTAGCCTTACTTTTGTGTTGCTGTGAAAATCAGTAGGACTCCAGTCAGAGGAATAAGGGCATGGTTTTTCAAACTTATACTAAAAAAGACCTAAGATGCATTAACACAGTATGGTCATAAATATCTCACTCAAAAGTGAGAAGGATACATATATTTTCTTTTCAGACATCAATTAGAATGTAACTTGCACTATTGTGATTTCTCCCCTTCCAAAATGCCTGTTGTTTATTCATTTTAGTCTAATATTGCTAGAGTAGGAATGCCTGGAAAAATGGATGTCAGAAAGTCCACTAGTGTGATAGGATCTGCAGCTCTTTTAGAGAGATCAAATTCTTAACCAATCGAATGCAGTCCAGGTGCTGCTTTTGAACTGTGGATACAGAAATGAAAATACAGATCAGGCTCACTGTTGCATGGAGCCTAAATTCTAATGGTGAATATAACTAATAAACACATGAATAAATATAGAATTTTATATAAAGATACATTCTATGAAGAAATATAAGGTAGGATTCAGGTTAGAAGAGTGACTAGACAGTTGTTGTGGGAGGGGATAACATAGGATATAGTAATCAGGAAAGCCTTCTCTAAAGAGATAATATTTATGCTGAAAAACTAAATGATGAGAAGGAGTAGTTATACAAAGATCTGGGGAGAAGCATTCCAAGCAGAGGGAACAGCATATGCAAAATCTTGGCAAGGAAACAATCTTGGTGTGTATGAGAAACAAAAAGAATGTGGTTTGGCTAGATCATAAAATAAAATGGAAAATTGGTTCAAGATGAGGGTGGAAAATAGGCAGGAGCTGGATAATATATGCAGTGAAAGGCAGGGTAAGTAGCCTTGGTTTATTCTGAATATAATGGGAAACCACGAGAGTGTTTTAAGCAGTGGAGAGTAGAAGTAGCAAGGCTAGCTAGGAACTCTTGCAGTATTCCAGCAAAGATTATGATGATGATTGGGACCATTTAGGTGGTAGTGATTGAGAAGGTAGGAGTGGACTGATTCAGGATACATTTTGGAGATAAGGTAGACAAGTCTTACTGATTGATTACATGTGGGGGATGAGGAAAAGAGCAGAATCATACATGATATCCAGATTTTATAAGATTAAATGGGTGGATCACAGTGACATTTATTAAGATGGAGAATACTGGGGAGGAATAGGTTTTGGGATGGGTTAAGAGTATTATTGAGATATATTAAGTCTGAGATGTCTAGTAGGCTCTACACTGAAATTTTCAAGTAGGCAATTAGATATAAGGATTTGGAACTGTTTGGAAAGACCAAAGTTGGATATATTAATTTTGGAGTTATCAATACATAGATGATATTTAAAACTGTTGAATGAGATGAACTCATGAAAGGAGAATTTTAGATAGAGAAGTTCCAGGACCAAGTCTTAGATCATTCCGACATTAAAGGCGAGGAAGAGTAGGATACAATAAAAGTGGCGAAAAGCTACCAGTAAGTAGAAAGAAGAACAGGAGAGCATAGAGTCAAGTAAAGTGTTTTTAGAAAGAAGAAGTAGTGGGTTTAAATGCTGCTGGACTATAGAATAACATGAGGAGAGAAGAGAGACCAGTATATGTGAATACAAGAAGGTATTTGGTAATTCTGAAAAGAGCAGTTTTAGTGAAATGGTAGGTATGGAAAAGCATAAATAGATGGTAGCTATGCACATGGAAGTTTATTAAAGAGACTTGGTGTGAATATATACAAGGCCGGAACATACCCTGAAAGTTCTTTTTTACAGTTAAAATTAATCATCGGTCCAAAGAATTTTGTTGTATTGTTTTCTTGTATTTTACTTATTTTTCATAAAAACTGCTTTTGGAAAAGAATTCAGCTTTTTGAGTGTCACTTTTTCTCATTTATCTTAAAAATTATCCACCAACATATTTTCATTCCTTATAAATCTTGCTCTTGTGACTATCCACCCATTGACTTAACCTCTAAGACTGAACTCTAAATAATGGAGTCATTACTCAGCTTTGAGTGTCAAAGCTGACATTTTGAGTCCACCAGGAGAAAAATGGACTTAAAAGCCAGGCTTTCTGAGAGAGATAAAAGGAATTTATAAATCCCTCCCACAAATGGAAAATATATGAAGAGCAAATGGAGGTCAATATATAAGGTTTTATTATAAACAAAGGATAGAAAAAACTTGGAATACAAGGTAAAGGGAGATTCTCACTAATCTAGAAGAGAAAATAGAAGCTCTCTGAGAGGGAAAAACAAAAATAGGGGGACAGGGAGGAAGAGGAAAAAGGGCGGGAAAAAATTAATTAAGTATAAAGTTCAAGGTCGAGACCCAGCCATATCTACAGATGTTCTGAATTTAGCAGCACAGAGAACATCAGACCTACCATGCTGAGAACAGACAATTAACACTGTGCAAAAGTAGAGGAAACACAGACTTATTCCCAGAAACCATGCAAATGAATTACACTTCAACCAAAGATCAGAGACCCAAAAAGGGAGGACAACAATGGGAAGAGCAGCCCTTCCATCCAAAATGAGATGTCTAACTAAGCTTCCCCTTACAGCCAGGTTTTGAAGGAAGGGGGTTTGAAAGCGAGATCTTCTAAAGGAGAGAAATAGAAATTTTAAATTTACAGAGTATTTACCTCCAAAGTGATTGGATTAACCTTGAAGAGACTGCTATAAACCAGAGAAAATCTAGTTACTTCCAGCAAGTTAACTTTTCCCCCCTAATTATCAGTAAGAAAGACCGCTTATAAAGATATGGATTAAATAATTAAATATTGTTTTTGCATATCTGAATCCTAGTATACTATATTTCTATCTTGCTGTGTCTGAATTTGGTTGAGTTTTTACTATATGCGGCAACTGCCTAGGAAATGTCTTTATTTCTCATTAAAATCTGTCCTTTAGAATTTTTAGTCATTTTCCTTTTGGTTCTTTCATAAGTATAGAACAGTTAATCACTTTTGTAGTATGACTCTTTTTAAAAATAATTATAAATATTTTCTTAAATCACAAGCCAGTTCTCTCTGCTCCAGTCTAAATATTATTTTTAACTTTTTGACATTTGTTTTGCAAATCTATTGAGTCCTTTTGAAGTACTTTTCATCTTTCTCATCTGTGAGCCCCAAACTTGTCAGTATTCCAGGAAAATGGAACTATTCTTCAGAGAACATATAAACTCAAAAATTAAAACTATCTTTCATTTTTAATCCAATTTTCTCTAAAAATAAAACAGGAGTAATCATACCTAAGGAGCATATCTTGGCTTTGGAGGTGGAGGAGGATTCTGGCACCCACAGAGACGTTTGGCCCTAGGTGATGGCAGTAAAGTCTCACAAGGAAGTAGTGGTGGTCTTTCTCTTGATGGAGGATCTCTACCTGTACCTACTTTTTTCCCTTTTTCTTTGAATGTAGTCCTTTTGGATGGCATTTTGAAATTTCTCTTTGGTTCCAGTGCTTCCTTCTTTGAATCTGTAGATGTGGCATCTGATTCATCAACTATCCTTTTAGGCCTAAGTTTATATAGTGACTCTTCAGATTCAGCATCTGAACTTTTCAATGTTTCAGGCTTCTTTAGGTTTTTCTTGGAAGACACATCAGATTCAGCATCACTAGACTCTAGGTCCTTCTTTGCATCCTTCTTGCTTGCATCTTTTTTGAATCTTTCTTAACCTTCTTTTAATCCTCTTGTCCTTCTTTGATTCCCAATCAGACTTGGTTTCAATAGACTCTTCAGACTTCATTGTAGACTTCCTTTTGTCATCTTTCTTTGAATCTTTTTACCCATTTTTGTATCCCCTTCAGATTCAGAATCAGCATCAGTAGACACAACATCCTTCTTGGCATCCTTTTCCTTGTCATCTTTCTTTGAATTTTTCTTTGCATCTTTTGAATCTACAGATTCTTCTGCATCCTTCTGGCCATCTTTTTTGTCATCTTTCTTTGAATCTTTCTTACCTTTCTTTGAATCTTTCTTTGCATCCTTTGAGTTTCCAGATTCTGCATCAGTAGACTCTGCGTCCTTCTTTGTACCCTTCTTGCTGTCTTTCGTTGTACTTTTCTTATCTTTCTTCTCATCTTTCTTTGCATCTTTTGAATCTCCAGATTCAGCATCAGAGCCCTTCCCCTTTGTATCCTTTTTTGCATCCTTCTTTGGAAGCTTTTTAAAATTATTCTGTGAGTAGTTATTTAACCACATATCAAATTCCATGGGTTCAGCACCAGACTCCTCTAAATACATCATTAAATCCATATTTGAATTACTTTTTGAGCAAATCTCTGATTTGGCATCACGATTGTTCTTTGAGCTCCTATAATACTTCTTTGTACATATGGATTCAAAATCCATCTCCCTGGAATCCTTTGAATATCTCTTATCTTTTTTTTTATCCTTTATTGAGACTGACTTAGAACCTTTGGATTCTGGGTTTGTTTCTGAATTGGACTTTGACTTCTTAGATAGTTGACTTTCATGTGATGATTTTGATGGAGTTTTATCTGCTTTATTTCCTCTTTTAGGTTTCTCATTATTTACTGTTTTCTTGGATTCTAAAGTTGTTTTGTGTGGGCCTATAGCTTTCTTGGAAACTTTCTTCAAAGTTGTTCCTTTTTTGTCATCTTTGGACTTTTTAGATTCTGCCTTTTTAGAATGAGTGATAAGAGTATAAGAATGTCTGAATGAAGCCTGTCTCCTGATAGTTAAATTAATAGACGACCTTTGAAATGTTTTTCTTAACGAATGTGTTATCCATATATGAGCTGGCTTCTGAGCTTCATCTAAATTTCTTTTGTCATGTCTATGAAAAAAATTTGGTTAGAATAATGATGTGTTTTTTGAATTAGTTATATCTTGTTATATTGAAACATAAAAATAGTCTAGCTTTTAAATAACCATCTATTTAAATAGTTTTTTTTTCCTTTTCAACATTCTGTGTGTGTTTGTGTGTGTATGTGAGACAACTCCACTTTGGAAATAAAATAAATTTAGGAGGAACCTTCGAATTTCCTCAGTGATTAATATTAGGATCAGAGCAGGCCCACATGATCCATGACATTTCAGGTCCTGTCCTCATAACTGATAATATGTTCCATTTGGACTCCTACAGGGGAGAGATCTTTTGGAACATTTAATGTACCCCTCAGCCACAAGTCAGATCAGAAATAAGCTGATGCCCTTGAAGGTTTTTATGATAATTCTTATGATAGGCTACAATTTTATAGGCTTCAGGCCTAGCTTGATTTCTACACCTACTTTCAAGGTCTCTGAACAGATTGAAAGCCTAAGATCCCTGCTGTGAAATACTGCCAAAAACAAAGACATAAAATAAAACAAATATTATATACACATTTCTTAGTGTAACAATAGTGTATATTTTTTACTCCAACCCAAACATTTCTCAAATCTGGTTGTCATAGTGGCCACATAGACTAATTTACATTTACTTCTTATACTCCTTCAGCTATCCATTAGGGATATCACCAGTCAGTTAAATTGTTATATGGAATTAAAAGAGGACAATGAAGAGAAGCATGAAACTTTGATCTCTACAGATGTAAAAATGACCATTGAATAAATGCATTGACTGTGACCCTGCTTTGGGAGATACTTTTAAAATATATTTTGATATCTGGGTGACCTCGGTAGGTTACCTTTTCTTTTTGTTAGTTGATAGAATAACTTCACTTTATAAAAGCAGTAGAAAACGTGAATCTCCAAGTATCTAGTATTTGAATGCCAGATTAAAGAAAATGGAAAGGCCCTGAAACCTCATCAAGATGTGCTCCTCAAGTAGTGAAATTGAGACTGTGATTAAGAATCTTCCAACAAACAAAAGCCCAGGAACAGATGGCTTCAGAGGCGAATTCTATCAAACATTTAGAGAAGAGCAAACATCTATCCTTCTCAAAATCTTCCATAATATAGCAGAGGGAGGAACACTCCTAAACTCATTATACAAGGCCACAATAACCCTGATATGAAAACCAGACAAAGATGTCACAAAGAAAGAAAACTACAGGCCAATATCACTGATGAACATTGACGGAAATATGCTCAACAAAATACTAGCAAAGAGAATCCAACATCACGTTAAAAGGATCATACACCATGATCAAGTGAGGTTTATTCCAGGAATGCAAGGATTTTTCAATATATGCAAATCAATCAATGTAATACACCATATTAACAAATTGAAAGAGAAAAAACATATGATCATCTCAATAGATGCAAAAAAGCACTTGACAAAATTCAAAAAACATTTATGATAAAAAACTTCCAGAAAGTAGGCATAAAAGGAACTTACCTCAACATAATAAAGGTCATATATGAAAAATCCACAGCCAACATAATTCTCAATGGTGAAAAACTGAAAACATTTTCACTAAGATCTGGAACAAGGCAAGATTTTCCTCTCTCAACACTATTATTCAACATAGTTTTGGAAGGTTTAGCCACAGTGATCAGACAAGAAAAAGAAATAAAAGGAATCCAAACTGGAAAAGAAGAAGTAAAGCTGTCACTGTTTGCAGATGACATGATACTAAACATAGAGAATCCTATAGATGCAACCAGGAAACTACTAGAGCTAATCAATGAATTTGGTAAAACAGCAGGATATAAAATTATGCACAGAACTCTCTTGCATTCCTATACACTAATATTGAAAAATCTGAAAGAGAAATTAAGGAAACACTCATATTTATCATTGTAACAAAAAGAAGAAAAAACCTAGGAATAAACCTACCTAGGGAGAGAAAAGACCTGTATGCAGAAAACTATAAGACATTGATGAAAGAAATTAAAGGTAATACAAACAGATGAAGACATACACCATGATCTTGGATTGGAAGTATCAACATGTGAAAGTGACTATACTATCGAAAGTAATCTACAGATTCAACACAACCATTATCAAACTACCAATGGCAGTTTTCACAGAACCAAAACAAAATATTTCACAATTTTATGGAAACACAAAAGACCCTGAATAGCCAAAGCAATCTTGAGAGAGAAAAATGGAGTTGGAAGAATCAGGCTCCCTGACTTCAGATTATACTGCAAAGCTACAATAATCAACACAGTATGGTACTGGCACAGAAACAGAAATATAGATCAATGGAACAGGAGAGAAAAGCAAGAGTTAAACCCATGCACATATGGTCACCTTATTTTTGATAAAGGAGGCAAGAATATGCAGTGGAGAAAAGACAGCATCTTCAATAAGTGGTGCTGGGAATACAGGACAGCTGCATGTAAAGAATGAAATTAGAATACTCCTTAACACCATACACAAAAATAAACTCAAAATGGATTAAAGACCTAAATTTAAGGCCAGACACTAATCAAACTCTTAGACAAAAACATAGGCAGAACACTCTATGGCATAAATCACAGCAAGATCCTTTTTGACCCACGTCCTAGAAAAGTGGAAATAAAAACAAAAATTAACAAATGGGACCTAATGAAATTTAAAAGCTTTTGCATATCAAAGGAAAACATAAACAAGACAGAAAGACAACCCTCAGAATGGGAGAAAATATTTGCAAGGAAGCAAGTGAGAAAGGATTAAGCTCCAAAATTTACAAGCAGCTCATGTAGCTGAATATAAAAAAAACAAACAACTCAATGCCAAATGGGCAGAAGACCTAAATAGACATTTCTCCAAAGAAGATATACAGATTGCCAACAAACACATGAAAGAATGCTCAACATCATAATCATTAGAGAAATGAAAATCAACACTACAATGAGATATCACCTCACAGTGTTCAGAATGGCCATCATCAAAAAATCTACAAACAATAAATGCTGCTGAGGTTGTGGAGAAAAGGGAACCCTCTTGCACTGTTGTTGGGAACGAAAATTGATATAGCCACTATGTAGAACAGTGTGGAAGTTCCTTAAAAAGTTAAAAATAGAGCTACCATACAACCCAGCAATCCCACTACTGGACATATACTCTGAAAAAAACATAATTCAAGAAGCATCATGTACCACAATGTTCACTGCAGCACTATTTACAATAGGACATGGAGCAACCTACATGTCCATCGACAGATGAATCAATAAAGAAGATGTGGAACATATATATAATGGAATATTACTCAGACATAAAAAGAAACGAAATTGAGTTATTTGTAGTGATGTGGATGCACCTAGAGTCTGTCATACAGAGTGAAGTAAGCCAGAAAGAGAAAAACAAATACCATATGCTAACATATATACATGGAATCTAAAAAAAAAGAAAAATGGCTCTGCAAAACCTAGGTGCAGGACAGGAATAAAGGCACAGACCTGGATAATGGACTTGAGGATACAGGGAGGGGGAAGAGTAAGCTGGGGTAAAGTGAGAGAGTGGCATTGACATATATACACTACCAATTGTAAAAATAGATAGCTAGTGGGAAGCAGCTGCATATCACAGGGAGATCAGCTCGGTGCTTTGTGACCACCTAGAGGGGTGGGTTATGGAGGGTGGGAGGGAGATGCAAGAGGGAGGAAGTATAAGGATATATGTATATGTATAGCCGATTCACTTTGTTATAAAGCAGAAACTAACACAGCATTGTAAAGCAATTATGCTCCAATAAAGATGTTTAGAAAAAATTGTCTCCTCTTCTAAGACTCAAATTTTATATGTTGTTTTGTGGCCGGTTAAATTTTCCTGATAGATCCCTCCAGTTGCAACATTAGATTCTCCAGCTTACCTAGCCTATGAGGTATATAATGCCTTTGAAATTGAGAACCACGTATAAATAAAGTTTAATCTGAAGTAGTTGGAGGCAATCTACTATACAGGGAGTTATAAATTTAGAAATATCTGCTTCCAATTGGTAGTAAAATTCAAATTATATATATATATAATTTATATTTATATATTGTCTCATCTTAAATTTCGTAATAAATGACCTTAATATTTACAAGAACTGCAGTTTGTGTTTCTGAAGTTCTTAATCTCTTTTTACTACCTGGCTGTGGTGGTTTGGGAAATGTAAAGTGAAGTATTGTTGATTCCATAATTTTCTGCTTGATTCCCTGACTGAAATAAGAGGGAATAATAAACAATTTGCAGTTAATAGCCAGACTTTCATCAGCCCTGAACTATTCTTGAGCAATAAATATATTAAGTTGTCACTCAAAATATAGCTTTCCCCCCTGGAGTTTGTAGCTTATTTGCATATTAGTTAGGAAAGATAAAAACTGATTTCTCCATTTAGCACCAAAGTAACTTTAAAATGACATTTGTAATTTTATTTTCTAGATGAAATCAATTTTCAGTTACTTAAATCATAATAATTACAATAATACAATCAAACTGTAAGAAGGGAAAATAGAGAAAAATTCACTGTTTCCATCAAAACATCTCCATCAACTCAACTGTGTTGTTTTTTTTCTTTATGTCATTTTGGTTGGATTGCAACAAATATAACGTCTTTTTTTATAATCCCAATAATAGCTAGCACAATCCCGAGAATAGTCAGTAAAACTCTCGATTCCTTAAACCTAAGTGCATCTTTTAGTTCTCCTCTGACCCCAATGACCTCCCAAGTCACAGAAATTACGGCCATAAACCCAAATGCTACATGAAGGTCTGAAACCCTTATTTAAAGAAAGGGCGTGAAGCTTGTCTTTTTGCCTTGTTTATGGTTTCCTTTACTGTGCAGAAGCTTTTACGTTTCATTAGGTCCCATTTGTTTATTTTTGTTTTTATTTCCATTTCTCTAGAAGGTGGCTCAAAAAGGACCTTGCTGTGATTTATGTCATACAGTGTTCTGCTTATGTTTTCCTCTAAGAGTTTGATAGTGTCTGGCCTTACGTTGAGGTCTTTAATCCATTTTGAGTTTATTTTTGTGTATGGTGTTAGGGAGTGTTCGAATTTCATTCTTTTACATGTAGCTGTCCAGTTTTCCCAGCACCACTTATTGAAGAGGCTGCCTTTTCTCCACTGTATATTCTTGCCACCTTTATCAAAGATAAGGTGACCATATGTTTGTGGGTTTATCTCTGGGCTTTCTATCCTGTTCCATTGATCTATATTTCTGCTTTTGTGCCAGTACCATACTGTCTTGATTACTGTAGCTTTGTAGTATAGTCTGAAGTCAGGGAGCCTGATTCCCCCAGCTCCATTTTTCTTTCTCAAGATTGTTTTGGCTATTCGGGGTCATTTGTGTTTCCATACAAATTGTGAAAATTTTTTTCTAGTTCTGTGTAAAAAGCCAGTGATACTTTGATAGGGATTGCATTGAATCTGTAGATTGACTTGGAGAAAATATTTACAAATGAAGCAACTGACAAAGGATTAATCTGCAAAATTTACAAGCAGCTCATGAAGCTCAATATCAAAAAAACAAAGAACCCAATCCAAAAATGGGCAGAAGACCTAAATAGACATTTCTTCAAAGAAGATATACAGATTGCCAACAAACATATGAAAGAATGCTCAACATCGTTAATCATTAGAGAAATGTAAATCAAAACTACAATGAGATATCATCTCACACTGGTCAGTATGGCCATCATCAAAAAATCTAGAAACAATAAATGCTGGTGAGGGTGTGGAGAAAAGGGAACCCTTTGTTGGTGGGAATGTAAATTGATACAGCCACTATGGAGAACAATATGGAGTTTCCTTATAAAACTAAAAAGAGAACTACCATCTGACCCAGAAATCCCACTACTGGGCATATATCCTGAGAAAACCATAATTGCAAAAGAGTCATGTACCACAATGTTCTTTGCAGCTCTATTTACAGTAACCAGGGCATGGAAACAACCTAAGTGTCCATCGACAGATGAATGGATAAAGAAGATGTGGCACATATATACAATGGAATATTACTCAGCCATAGAAAGGAACAAAACTCAGTTATTTGTAGTGAGGTGGATGGACCTAAAGTCTGTCATGCAGAGTGAAGTAAGTCAGAAGGAGAAAATCTAATACCGTATGGTAACATATATATGGAATCAAACAAAAAGTTTATGAAGAACCTAGGGGCAAGATGAGAATAAAGGCACAGACCTATTAGAGAATTGACTTGAGGACATGGGGAGGGGGAAGAGTAAGCTGGGACAAAGTGAGAGAGTGGTAATGTATATATGGACATATATACACTACCAAATATAAAATTGATAACTAGTGGGAAGCAATTGCATAGCACAGGGAGATCAGCTCGGTGCTTTGTGACCAGCCAGAAGTGTTGGATAGGGAGGGTGGGCAGCAGGGAGACGCAAGAGGGAAGAGATATGGGGATATATACATATGTATAACTGATTCACCTTGTTATAAAGCAGAAACAAACACACCATTGTAAAGCAATTATACTCAGAAAGGGCATGTACACATTTGAGGGCACCCAGAATAGAGTGATTAGGGGATCAAACTATCTGGGAACTATCAAAAGAGGAGGTATTGAGATAATTCAGATACTTCTCCTGGAGATGAGGAGGTTAATGAGAGATGCGATCATTATACTCAAACATTTAAAGAGCTGGTATATACAAGAATGGTAGCAAAAGTAATAATAGGATAGCTGCAACTGCTAACACTTATACAGTGTTTACTATATGCTAGACTATGTTTTAAGCACTTTACATATATCAACTTATTAATCATCACAACCCTTTGAATTAGGTAATATAATTTATAATTGCCTCCATTTTACAGATATAGAAAAATAGAGCACTGAGAGAGGTTAAATTACTTGCCCCCAAATCATAAAGTAAGTAGAAGAGTTAAGATTCAAACACAGATAGTTTGGCTCCAGAATACATGCTCTTAATTACAATGTTAGAGATTTCACCTACATGTTTCATGAGGGAATAACTAGACCAATGGTTAAAAGTTGTAGCAGTGCAGGTGGATTTCAGCTCAATATATTAAGGAGAACTCTTCTATAGTTGTAGCTTTTCAACACCTGGAATATCCACTTTCATCTTTCTGACTATATTTTCCTTCTCTACTTTGAGTTTTGTAATGGTGAATTTTAAAAACAAGAAAACCTTTTGCAAATAAGTTTGATTTTTATAATTAGGAAGAACTAAATATTTCCTTTTAAAATAGCTAGTAGAAACCCACATCAAGGCCAGAAATACTTTAAACGCACACACACACACACACACACCAATATACATGATTCTCTTAAACTTTAGCAAAAATTCAGGGCATTTAAGCTTTATCACATTGAATGGAAGAGACTAGTCATTTTCCCTAAAATTATTTTCAAATATAATCTAAATAATATTGAGCTCCAAAGACTAAATCCTTACTTGGTAAGGAATTATCATATGTTCTGATGTTTACTTCTCGTCTGTTAAAAAAAAGAAAATGTTTAATTGAATTTGTATTATGGCTAATAATAATAATGACTATTATTACTAAGATGCCTTTAATAGTAATGCTTTGAGAAATCTTGGAAAGTACTCATTTATTCTGGTAATAATTGTACTGCCCATCGAGGATACACACGGTATAATTTATTTTTATTGTTTAATTTTTATGGGCTATTTTTAAATTTTTTACGTTTTTAAAAAAATTATTTTATTTATTTTTAAATATTACTTCCTTATTAGTTAAGAGGAACAGTAGATTGTGACCACTGTTAATTCTGAGATTGTACTTATATACACAAATACTTTAGAGCATGATTTTTTGACTGACCTAAGCCATCAAGTTTGTAAAAACAAACAAAAATAGGTCAAAATCAAATATATTTATATATGAGTCAAATTTATTTTCATTTCCTAAGTACAGCTTTGGTACCAGCACAAAGCCTGGTCCATATTCATCATTAAATAACTACTGACTTACTTAGAAAGATTTTGGAGACACTGAGTAATAAAAATATCTAGTCCAGTGGTTCTCAACTAGAGGTAAATATGATAATTAACTTGGACATTTTTAAAATGTAAACATGTCTGAGAACTGCTCCTGGACCCATGAAGCAGAACATCTGTGTGTGGCTTTATCAAGCCTGTATTGAAAAACTCTCCAAGTTATTTGGAAACTCAGTTGAAGTTAAGAATCACTGCTTTCAATTGTCTTGAAACAGGAAACTTCATAGATTTCTGAAATAGCCAAAGCTTGTTGTTTTGCTTTTACAAAATATAGATCAATTGTCTATTAGTTTGTGTTGAAACCATATTCATTCTATAGAGTAGCTAGAAGATTATATGGCCTGGGAGTTTGGAAATTTAACAGTTTGGAAGTCTGACATGCTGGCTGGATCACTGCTTTCATATCCTGGGAAAAATACTTTGCACCTGCATTGATTTTGACTTATTTCCTACAGTCTAAAGTAATTTTTTTCAAACTTTCTTTTGAGCACAGCTCAATAATTGTGATGTGTGTATAATTCATATTCTACTGTAATAATATACCTTATAAATTATATATTAAGATAGAAAAATTTGATATGAAATAAAATATGTAAATTAAAATTCTCATATCCTGCCCCTACAATCCAATGGATTGTCCTGCACATGCACCTCACTTTGGAAAACACTAGAAAGGGCAATCAAGGAACAGTGAGAAATGGGAAAATTCTGTCAACATGCCTGCCTGATATAGATGTGGGCTTAGTCTCAAATTATTGGAAATTCAAATATAGTTAAACCTCTGAAAAGTTTTATTCATTTCAAAATATACTTTTTTAGTGCTATAAATGATTATGTGTATATTACTTTGGTACATAGGTGATCCGATTCTGTATCCTGACATAAAGGGAAAAATTAGTAATAGAAGCCAGAAGAGAATGGAAGGGTATATTTAAAATTCTAAAAAAAAAAAAAACCATGCAAATTTAAGATTCTTAACCCAGCAACATTATTCTTCAAAAATGAACATAAGTTCTTTATCCATTCAACCGATGATAGACATTTAGGTTGCTTCCATCTCCTGGCTATTGGGAATAGAGCTGCAATGAACATTTTGGTACATGACTCGTTTTGAATTATGGTTTTCTCAGGGTATATGCCCAATAGTGGGATTGCTGGGTTGTATGGTAGTTCTATTTGTAGTATTTTAAGGAACCTCCATATTGTTCTCCATAGTGGCTGTATCAATTTACATTCCCACCAGCAGTGCAAGAGTGTTCCCTTTTCTCCACACCCTCTCCATCATTTATTGTTTCTAGATTTTTTGATGATGGCCATTCTGACTGGTGTGAGATGAAATCTCATTGTAGCTTTGATTTGCATTTCTCTAATGATTAATGATGTTGAGCATTCTTTCATGTGTTTGTTGGCAATCTGTATATCTTCTTTGGAGAAATGTCTATTTAGGTCTTCTGCCCATTTTTGGATTGGGTTGTTTGTTTTTTTGTTATTGAGCTGCATGAGCTGCTTGTAAATTTTGCAGATTAATCCTTTGTCAGTTGCTTCATTTGAAAATATTTTCTCCCATTCTGAGGGTTGTCTTTCTGTCTTGTTTATGGTTTCCTTTGCTGTGCAAAAGCTTTGCAGTTCCATTAGGTCCCATTTGTTTATTTCTGTTTTTATTTCCATTTCTCTAGGAGATGGGTCAAAAAGGATCTTGCTGTGATTTATGTCATACAGTGTTCTGCCTATGATTTCCTCTAAGAGTTTGATAGTGTCTGGCCTTACATTTAGGACTTTAATCCATTTGGAGCTTATTTTTGTGTATGGTGTTAGGGAGTGTTCTAATCTTATAGATTAGAATCTCATTTTAAATCTCGTTAAAAAAATCTCATTTTACATGTACTTGTCCAGTTTTCCCAGCACCACTTTTCTCCACTGTATATTCTTGCCTCCTTTATCAAAGATAAGGTGACCATATATGCATGGATTTATCCCTGGGCTTTCTATCTTGTTCCATTGTTGTACATTTCTGTTTTTGTGCCAGTATCATACTGTCTTGATTACTGTAGCTTTGTAGTATAGTCTGATGTCAGGGAGCCTGGTTCCTCCAGCTCCATTTTTAGTTCTCAAGATTGCTCTGGCTATTCGGGATCTTTTGTGTTTCCATACAAATTGTGAATTTTTTTGTTCTAGTTCTGTGAAAAATGTCAGTGGTAGTTTGATAGGCATTGCATTGAATGTGTAGATTGCTTTGGGTAGTACAGTCATTTTCACAATGTTGATTCTTCCAATCTAAGAACATGGTATATCTCTCCATCTATTTATATCATCTTTAATTTCTTTCATCAGTGTCTTATAATTTTCTGCATACAGGTAAAATAGAATATTGCTCAGCTGTTAAAGGAAACGAAATTGAGTTATTTGTAGTGAGGTGGATGGACCTAGAGTTTGTCCTACAGAGTGAAGTAAGTCAGAAAGAGAAAAACAAATACCATATGCTAACACATATATATGGAATCTAAGAAAAAAAATAAGGTCATGAAGAACCTAGGGGTAAGAAGGGAATAAAGACACAGACCTACTACAGAGTGGACTTGAGGATATGGGGAGGGGGAACAGTAAGCTCTGACAAAGTGAGAGATTGGCATGGACATATATACACTACCAAATGTAAAATAGATACCTAGTGGGAAGCAGCCGCACAGCACAGGGAGATCAGCTATGTGGTTTGTGACCACCTAGAAGAGTGGGGTAGGGAGGGTGGGAGGGGGGGAGATGAAGAGGGAAGAGATATGGGAACATATGTATATGCATAACTGATTCACTTTGTTATAAAGCAGAAGCTAACACATTCTTGTAAAGCAGATATACTCCAATAAAGATGTTAAGAAAAAAAAGAAGAAGCTTGCATTTTCTGGGGAATGGTAAAAATACTAATTTGTGGTAAACATCAATAAATCAAAGGATTATGCTTTCATTTTTAAGCTAACTGCAAAAGAATAATGAAAGGCATTTGCATAAAATAATAGAGAAGTAAATGTAAATAAAATGTTTTATTAGCACAAAGGAAAGCAATAAAGGAGAATTAAAGAACAAAAAATATGGGACAAATAATAAACAAAAAATTAAATATTATATTTAAATCCAAACATAAAGTAACTACATTAAAAGCAAATGGAGTAAGATTAATAAGTTATAGAAATATTCTGTATAACATTGTGCCTATAGTTAACAATACAGTGTTTTACACACAAAAATTTGTAAGAGGATTGTTCTCATGTTAAGAAAAGTATATGGACTAAGTACACCACTTAAAACATGAAAATGTCACAGGGGATTATAGGAGATACACCAAGAATATAAGGACACATAATGGTTAATTTTTTTTTTAATGGAGAAGGGATACACTGTGCACACCAATGGATAATAACCTCCAAATGTAAAATAGATAGCTAGTGGGAAGCAGTCACATGGCACAGGGAGATCAGCTTGGTGCTTTGTGACCAGCTAGAAGGGTGGGATAGGGAGGGTGAGAGGGAGGGAGACACAAGAGGGAAGAGATATGGGGATATATGTATATGTATAACTGATTCTCTTTGTTATAAAGCAGAAACTAACACACCATTGTAAAGCAATTATACTCCAATAAAAATGTTAAGAAAAAGAGCTCATGGAGCTAAACTAATTTAACTAAGTTAACTTTAAGATAAATAAAAATAAATGGAGACATTTTGTAATGGTACAAAGCTCAATCCAATAGAAAGATGTAGTAATTCAAGATTTGTATGTACCCACTGACATAGTTTTAAAAAATATAAAGCCAAAATTTTAAAAGGAAAAGTCATAATGTGCAAACTGACAATTATAGTTGGAGACTTTGGCATACTCATTTTAATAACTAATAGACCAAGAAGACAAAAATGTATCAGTAGAGATATAGAAAAGTTGAATAATATAATTAATACAACTTGACATAGTATAAAGACTTTACAGCAAACAACTGCACAATATACATTTTCTTCAAGTTCACATGGAACAGTTAACAAAAGTGACAATAGACTAGGCAATAAGCAAGTCTCAATAAATATCAAAGTACTGAAATCATATGGTATATGTTTTCTGATCACAGTTGAATAAATCTAGAAATCAGTGACAAAAAAAATACTAAAAAATACCTAACAATTGGAAATTAATAATACAAACTATGAATTAAAGAATAACAAGGGAAACTAAAAAATATTTTGAACATTATTTTGAATAGCATAAAGAAAATATATAATAGTTAAATACCTGTGGCATATAAAAACCTATTTAAATCTTTATAACTTTAAATTTGTATATTAAAAAAGAAGATAGGCTGAAAAATCAATGACTTAAATATCCATTTCATGAAACTAGACACAAAACATCAGATTGAAGCCAATATATTTAAGAGGAAAAAAAATAATAAAGACACCAACAGAAAAAAATGAAAGAAAGCAAAAACTTTATGCCAATATAGTTGAAAATTTAGACAAAATAAACAAGTTCCTTAAGAAAGAACACATGTGAAATCTGAAATAAGGGGTAATGGAAAATATGAATTATTGTATGTATATTAAAGACATTGCCTTTATAATTAAAAATGTACTGACATA